GCTAAATGCGGCCAGATGCAAACTGTGTCTCCACTTTGGTGCTTGACAGGTGGCCAACAGTTTTAGAAATAAAACCGCACATAAGAGGCTTTCTATTCACATCCTGCGCTTACCGGGTGGATGCACATGTGCAGGCACGAAGCAAGGCTAGATATAGGCAAGACATGAGCGACACGCAGTGTAGTGCGTATCCACATGACGGGGAACGGTTGATCTAAATCACAAAAACTACATTTTTGACCTCAACAACAACCAGTTCCAACACTAAATGAAAAATAAACGTTGGTTTACTGATGGTTGACATTGGTTTTTATTTCCTTGTAAAAGCAATTATTAGTTTGAATGACAGCCTACGATGAGGTACAAGTCGGGGGGGGGGGAGAACGTCAGAAATGACCAGGGAAATTTCAAATGGCCAAATTAGACCAAAACGGCTGATTGAAAAGTTTCGCTTTAACTTTCATCAACAACTCTCTCAAGAAAGAGGCCTTTGGTTTAAAAGGTGAAGCAGCTGACTGCTGGCTCTGCCTGAGTAGAAAGCCTGACTAATTAACCAAATAAAATGATCGTATTTCTCTTTAAAGCAGAACTAAAACATTCTAAGTGTTTCATCAGTATTTTATTGAAACAAAATACTGCCTGAGGCAATTATTCCAACTGCTTCAGGCAGCAGTTGGAATAATTGTTGGTTTTCTGCGCTTCGTTTTTGTGTGAAGGAATTGAAACCTTTTCACGTCCTGATGAAAAACATCCCAAATTCAAACTTTTGAATTTGGGATGTTCGTCTTTAAAATGGCGTGGCTTTGCCTGGGGGAGCTTCCTAATCATGGGGGGAGCTTGGTGTAGAGCTGCTTCTCTTGCTGATGAGGTTGCATCCTGCAATACTAAAAGGAGTTAGAATCGATATATTTCAGACGGGACACCTGACTCTGAATGCATTCCTGCAGGTTTCCTCCCATGTGGGAGTTTAGAGACTCCAAACTCGGAGAAAACACTACGAAGCTCCACTTTGGAGCAAAAGTTTATTGTATTTAAAGTCCATCTGAAGTCTCTGCTCTGTATTTAGATTTGCTGTGTTTGTTAGATAAACTGAGTAACGCATCTTTCTGTCTCTCATCCGGTGGTTTAGGACCAGCCGTCCAGTTTGACCATGGTAGATCTCCTCAACGTGGCCAGAGACATCGCTAAGGGCTGCCACTACCTGGAGGAGAACCAGTTCATACACAGGTATCCGAACAGATGAGAAACAAAAACACTAGAGCTTATAAATGCAGTGAAAGTTTGCCCTCATTCATCAAATCGACTCACACTAACAAACTGCATCAATCCAACTCTTAACATATGGACTCTGCACACTTCATGCCTCCTATATGATCTCAGAAAGAACAAGTAAGTGAGTGTAGAAAGCGAGCGGCCAGATGGCTCGGCCGGCTTGTGTTTTTACGGTCTGTTTCTGAGCCACAAGTCAGAGGAGCAGATCTGCAGTGACCGTGCTTGGTGAAGGATGAGAGGACGCACGTTAAAGAAGCTCTAAAAAATGTCCACAAGAAAAGGAAAAAAAAAAAACACTCATGCATATTTAAAACGAGGAAAGGTCAATGCTGGTTCTGCGTTTGTGTTGAGGCAGTATAACAGGATCTTCTTGCGGACTTTTAAGCATTAGCTGCTGACAAATGGAGCCTATTAAACCTTGTTTGGCCCAGCGTGGCACAGTAAAGCTACATCAATCCGTCTAATGGCCGACTCTTAAAATATTCTGCACAACCCAATCTTCTCTCCTCAATCCCGTATTAAAATTGCCCCGACTGCTGTCCTTGAGGCTTATTTCAGTTTTATGAAGGTGTGTTTACTTGAGGTTGAGTAACGGCCGCTGGATGAACAGGGCTCGTTTTTCAGGTGGATTAAAGGCTTGAATCATGAGCTGTGTGCAGCTTCAACAAGTTAACTCAGAGGGCTAATGCTGTCTGAGAACAATTTAATCTGCCTTTTATGTTTCTTTCATTATTTCTCCAGCTGAAAATCCAGTGAATGACCAATGGCTCATGGAGTGTTTTATTTGTTGTCTTTATTTATTTAATGCGAGAGCCTTCGTGTCGCGGTGGGAGTGGAGGCAGATTTGCGTTGCGGAAATGAACCTCAAATAAGAAACAGAGGTGAAGAAAAAAAAATGGCATGACAACAAATTGTGAGATTTGCAGAGAAAAAAACAAAAACATATTTTACGTGCACTTAAAATTTACTGTTATTAAAGTCAGTTGTAAATGTTTATATAAGGTTTGTGGGCTGCCTGGCCTTCCAGTCAGACCTCAGCTTGCGGCGGCAGCTGTTGCATTTTAAAACTCGTCCTTGCCTGGAAGCGCCAGATTTCCATGAATTCTCCTCCGTCATTATACAAGGACCGCTCGGGTTTAAATATAGCTCTTCACTCGCACTGTGGCCCTTTTCAGAGGTGATATATAAAACGCGAATGGGTTCATCACTTCGATTTAAGTGACTGCACTCAGTAATTCAAACACTTCTGCCTTGAAATTCCTCTCGGCTGCATACAGACATTTCCTCGGGAGAAGCACAGGTTGAACAGTGTTCGCCGAAAGAGGCTGCATAGAGGCAGTCTGCTTTCGACAAACATGTTAACAATTTTCTGGCAGAACGCGCAACATGGCCCACTGTATAAACCAAACCGGCAGTCAGTGGGCGTGTTTGGAAGGGCAGAGGCAAAATTAACCGTTGGACAAAGGAAGCCAGTCGCCTCAAAAGATTTAACCTGCTGATTTTAATCAATTCCGATCCCTTCTGCTGCATGCAAACAATAAATATGTTGGAAGCAAAGTCAATGTCGCTGTGAAATTTAGCAACTTGTTTTGCTAAAATACCAGCATAGCCAGTCGAACGTCATACTTTCAACTTTCAGCAAGTTTAAACAGTTCATGCTTAAACTTGCATGTAATCCTTCCAGTGAGCGTGATTCTGTTATTTGAATTGATTTATTTTTGACTTTTCAGTTTGTCGTCGTCCGTGCAGAAAATGTTGAAACAGTTTTCTGGTGTTTTTCTCAGGACTCTGTAAACACATCTTGCAGCTAAACAATATTAATCACACTACAGACTTAATGAAACTGTCGATCGTTTATTAGCGTAATCAGATTTGATTGAGAAGCAGCGCGACCTTAAAACAACCAGCATCACTCGCACCAGCATCGTCTCCCTCTCCTTGAGCAGGACAGCAGCAGTTTGTTCTTCGTTTAAAGTAACATATTTCTCGGCTCAATCGAAAAGGCTAACTGTGATAAAATGTCGAGGAAAACCTTCAGGGTTTATTCAAACCCGAAGCCGATGGATTCAGTCGTGGTGAAAGAGGCTTTTGATAAAGATCTCCGAGTCTTTTTATGTACCTGAGAAACGCCACAATTGAATGTTTGCAGCTTACTTCTGAATAGCAAAGATCTGCGGCGCGATGAAACCGACGAGGAGTCTCTCTGATTGGTTTTGAAAGCCGAGTTTATTAACGAGGAGCTGAGAAGCAAAGTCACTTCTCGTTTCAAGATGAATTACTCCCAGATTTAAAGTAGTTTTGGAGCAACTTAGGTTGAGCAGTTTGACACTCTGAAGTGGGAGACCCGGTTTTAAAGGCATCGGTTTAAATCAGGCTGAACTCGAACTTTATCCTCATTGTGTCATTTCTTATCTCTCTGAATCAGGCCTGTCGAGGCCAAACATCAAAACAATGTGTTTCTTTCTGCTGTGGCATCCATCACTGCGAGTTATTCAGCTTCATCCTCTTCCTGTCTCATGATCTGCTTTGAGCCGCGTGTAACGCCATGTCGCCATGGTTACGTATTTGCCACAGCTCTGTATGCTCTCAGTGTCGCTCCTTAAAACATACAGACGGTTTGGTGCCTTGAGGAGTAAACTGCAGTGTGTGTGGGGGGGGGCTCTACATATATTCTTCTTAAAGATTCAATCTGTGCTGTGCAAATATGAGATTTCCTCTATAAGCTGCTCTCCCTGCATGACTCTGCAGCATTTATATCCAGAAGCTGCTAAATGCCGGCAAGCCCAGGGCGAGACTAAAGTTCAGATCCAAAAGGGGAGTAACTGTGGGCGTTTTGCACACCAAACTCTTATAAATATAAATGCATGCAAAAAAAATCCCTGCTAAACTACAGAAGAGATGAGGCATAAGTCAAGCTGTGCAGATGCTCAGCGTGACACTTTGCTGCGCTCTGCATCCCCTCTTATTTAAATGCTCCATCCAGCATTGTGGGTGCGAGCTGTGATCTCATAATGCTTTTTTTTTTGTTTGTTTGTTTTTTGCTTTCAGGGACATTGCAGCTCGGAACTGCCTTTTAACCTGCAAAGGGCCGGGTCGAGTGGCCAAGATCGGAGACTTTGGGATGGCTCGAGACATTTACAGGTACGCTGGAATCTGCAGCACATGAAATAATGCCTGTTCTCTCAGGATAACTCATTTTTGTCAATACATCAGGGGCCACATCAAAATTTTAATTGAGCTTTGGACATGACATCTACATCAGTTGTCAAAAGAAGAGTATTCCTAGATAGAGTGAAAGAGAAGTCCTCTAAGGTTTACGTGGTAAATTCTTATAAATATATGAAATCATTCTAGAAATTTCTAGAAGTTTGTTGGAAAATGTATTCCTCAGTGACCACATTTTTTTTTTCTTTCACCTACAATCAGTCAAGTTTCAGTTTTATTAGTATAGCACATTTCAGCAGCATGGCGGGTCAAGGTACTTTAAATACACACAATGCTCCTGCTACTTCCCCATAGTTTGCACTAAGCATTAGACAGAGAATACGATTCAAACATTTCTAGAGAAACTCAAGCTAAACTAAATCATTTGAAACTAAATGCTTAGCATCATCATGGTGCTAAATTCTCCACCGATCTACAACGGACTCTTTCTGTCCTTTTCTGCATATTTTCCATTTCCAAATTCAACTATTTCTATATTACATTTTCACATTTTTTGTTTGCCTAGTTGTAATGTTTTTTTTTTAATCCTTAAAACTCAAAAACATAAATACAAATCAGTTCTGATTCTGCCGTGTAATAAGGGGGTAGTTAAAAAAAATAGATGGTGTGAGACCTGGTTGCTTAGACACAACACTGGTTCATTAATTAGAGTAAAAAATGTTTTCCTTGGACCTTTTGGCACAAAAAAATCCTAATTTAATTGGATCCTCTAAAATATTTTTAGTTGGCACAGTATGATGGGTATAAAATTATATATCTGCTACCACAAAGTGGTTCGCAAGAAACTTGTGGACTGAAATTTGTCAAATTATAATAAGTGTAATTTAACGGTATATCAATGGTTTGAAAGTCTGAGTAAGTTTTTAATAGTTTTTCTGCCTTGTGTAATAAAAACATGTTTGAGTTCAGCTGTGTTATTCATCGCTTTGCTTTACCGACTCATCATTTAATCTATGTCGGCTCATCTGCAGCTGAACAATGTCTTAGTTATTCTAAAATTCCTGCAAACACAGTTTAATGCGATGAAGTTTAGATGAACCGGGAATCCAGCAGGGAGAGCTGCCAAGCCTTTCATCGTCCCAGAAATTAGAGCAGAGGGAATCTGTCGCAGCGTTTCTCGGCATCAACGCCGCACTCCTGAATCATCCGACAGGGAAAGCTGCTGAGGAGCCGCACCAGGACAGCCTGATGTAACTGCGGATGTCAGATGCAGGTTCTGGTCCCTTCCTGGTGACACGGTGTCAGGGTTTCATGATCCCCGTTTTGATCATATCTGGCAACTTAACTGTTGTATTATTTCGGCCAATTCACGCTGTGGTGCCAAGAGACACGGACGACTATTTCTGAGGCGATGGCCGGGGACAGGAAGCACAGTGAGCGGCGAGGACTCGGCTAAATGCCAGATTTTTATACTCGCAGGCGTACCAGCATGCACAGGTTCACTCAGCCTCACAGGTGTAGATGAACAGCTGTAGTCAAAATAAAAACAAAATAAAAAAACGTTTTATTCTTCTTAAATTATCAGGCTTTACTAGTTGGGACTCAACAGGAATAGTAACTATTTACATTTTTTTTTTTAAATGTAGTTATGTAGTAAACAGAGAAGAAAACATGTACAAGCTGTGTGTGATATACAGAGTGATCAACATATATAATTAGGTAAAGTGGATATAAAAAGTGAAAGCACTCTTGTTAAAATGCTGCAACAAGATGATTTAATCTTTTATGTAACTTTTAAAACTCAACAAAAAAAAACCATCCAAAAAGTCTTTAAGTCTTAAGGCAGAAAAAAAAAAAAAACGTAATGTGGTTATAAGTTGCACACTCTTAAACTTAAACTAAGACTTTGCTGAAGTAACTTTCGATTCTTTTCCAGCTCCCTGTTTTTCAGGAAGACATCTACCAGCATGTCACATCTTCACTTCCCAACTTTTTCCCCACGCTTCTTTGCAAAAACACTATCAGATTGTCTTATCCACAGCCCCCACTGAAAGACTCGGATTTGGTTCTGGACTCAGTTTTGCTGATCTCTCACACCTTCAGTTTTATAGCAAATCTAAAGGTTGTAGGCCCAAAATGTCTGGGATTCAGAGTTGTTCTAAAGAGAAAAGTAACCCCACACCTTGTTTCTTCTGTCGTTGTGTTTCATAAGATCACAGTTCCTTCTCCCATGTGAGGTTTTAGCCGGGCGTGGCTGTTTGATTATAAGACGAAGCCTGATGATGGGGAGGAACCCAAACAGGCAGGATGAAGATTGCAGCGTCTTTTGCGTTGCTATGGCCTGTGCAACTTCCGTTTCTAAATCTTGAGAGTTCAAAAGGATGCTAGGAAGAAAGTGAGACCGTCTGTGTAAGCTGAATGTCGACACAATCTGGGACAGATCCCTCCAGAACCATAAGACCGATGACAAAAACACAGAAAATGACCAAATTATTGACAGGCCTGTAGGAGTGCATCTAGGTGCAGGCTGGACGTCCAGCTCACCAGCTACAGGTGTTAGAGTCAGGCCATCCTGACCTCCGCTGTTGCTTTTTACACTGATTCATCTTCGGAGTTACACCAACAGAACCACACAGGCATGAAAAGCTTTCGGTTTCCTGAGATGACCTAATCCTCCCTAATCCACTGCTCACTGAAAAAGGTCTTCATCAAAATATTTACCTGCTCTCTCCAACAGATAAAGCAATAAGCAGCAGAACAAAAAGCGTGTGTTGATCGATGTTTCGCAGCAACCTTGGTATTCTTCTAGAAGCAGCTCTGTGGGAAAGCTGCTTTTGTCTCATTGAAGCTTTGCTGCTGTTCTTTATAAGGACGGACACGACGATTAGAGGAGCACAAAGGAATGGGTGGGGGAGACGATGATGGCAGCATCCCGTTCTGTAATTGTACGTCCAAACGTGTTGCCATGAACCATTTCCCTTCACTGCTGGGATCCTTTTACTTTAAGTGAAAGATTAAGGCGCCGGGTGAATTAGAGCCCTGCAGGAGCATTTAGATAATCTGTCAAGCAAACAGAATCTGTTAGTGATTGTTTTCTCTGCCTCAGCGACTGGGTCATTTTCCACTGCCAATCGTATAAGTATGCATTTCCCTTTTAACTGCATTAGCAGCTTGCATGTCATCTGAATTCATTTCTGCTCACTGAGCCCCTGAAGACCCACAGCTGCAGCTCCGAGTTAAAGGAAATTAGCATTCCGACTTTGGATTTCAAGAAATCCGGGGAATTTGTATTTTAATACACTAGAGCAACAGTAACTCTGGACAAATGAACCTGCTTTTGTTTCACTTCTGAGGCTGAGCTACAGATTGGCTGTACTGCATGAATATTGCTTGTCTTATTAGGCCTCTGCAAATGTTGCGTTTAGTATTTGGACAAACGCCTCTTTCAACAAGTCCAGTGTTGTGTTTTGCTTAAACTGCAGAGCTTTGACTCTTTGCCTCATTCAGAGCTGAATCTCCAATAATCAAAATGCAAAATCTTCAACCCTGTATTGTTTATCACTTAGAGTTATTGCCAATAAATTAGAGTATTTATTCCAATTAGGCTGGTTTGTCAGATTAAAAGCATAATTTGAAAAAAGGAACAACCTTCAAGCAAGATTTTAAAAAAGTCAGAATTTGTGGACTTTCAAATATTTAAAGTCAGGTTCAATTATGTACAAACTTGCACTAATATTTGGTCCGGTGTTGCTTTTAGCTTGGCTGCACCTGCGTCACATTTTGGAGACATAGTCAAACATCTGGCAGAATGCTGGCTGGATATTTAGAGGATTTGGAGTTGATTTAAATTTCAATTAAGTAACAATTTTCAGCAATGTTTATACTTTATCTGCTGCAGAAGTTTTGTGTTTTTCCAAATTGAGTCTGGAAGTGTATATGGGAGAATTGTCCTGCAGGTTTCAGTCAAGAAATACCACACTATGTCATTGGTTAGGCTCATTTGGGACCAGATCGTTGAAGTTTGGCAAAAACACGACCGGATCCAGACCAGGAAATCCACCGGATTTAAATGAATCTCAGATTCTGTCGAGAGGAGAGGTCAGAAGTTTGTTGATGTCTCCAAAGAGTGTCTGATTGAGCTGCTTCAAAGGTTCCTTTACCCATCAGTGGGCATGAATTTATTTGAGCCTGTATATTTAAATAAATAAAAATCCAAACTCGGTCTTTCAGTTCTAGTTGAGAACGGTGTTTGATCCGTCTAAGCTGGAAATAGAGCGGCTCAAATAAACCGCGTGAAGTGGAACTTCATGTCCATGATGTTAGCTTCTCAGATGAGCCGCATTTATCCAAGCTTCTGCTGCGTTATCCATCTATGTATCCATCCAAAAAGAACCAGTTGGGTTGTTTGCTGTAATAAGAGATCCGTTCTGGTCAGCTGTGGCACAAATCAGAAAAGCAGCTGCGGCTCCTTTACCAAGTTCCAAAATATGATGGCCTGCGGCTGACAACCGCCTAGCACCCCCTGTATTATTTATCATTAAGTGCTTTCTTTGTTTATGAAGCAGTGTTTGGGGAGAAAATTGACATTTTATGACTAAGTTAAATGCCAAATTGATTTACTGCTCTGCAGAAGCAGAAGATGCCAAACGAAGGCAGCTGCGACACCACAGATCATAAATCCTCAGATGCTTCTTTTTCTTCATGGACGCGGAGTGGCAGCCCCTCACATCTGTCCTCGCTCTGCGCAATAAAGCAGGCAGAGACCTTGATGAGCATCAGAAATCAGATATAACACAGATGAGATCCTTTCTTTACCCGTGCCAGGAATTAGAAACAGCTCAGTGAGTGATAGCCTCCCTTTCTTTCCTAATTGGACATTCTTTTAGAGTTCCCAACACCAACCCAATCTGCAAATTAGGTTTATGGAAAAATGTAGAGGCTGTTTCAATCAAGGACAATTTAAATAGCTCAACACAACTAATGTTACCAGTGTAATCTCCAAATTCAACACAGAAAGCCACTAAATTACTTTAAATGTTGAACCTGTTCAACCCCTTCATGACAAGCGTCTTTAGTACTTTTATACTGTTCTGACCTGCTGCTCCTAGTGAATCTTGACAAACATCTCTAGACTAAAGGCTTCCATCTCATTCATATTCTCGATATTCAATCAGATAGTTCAGCAAAGTTCAAATCAGGAAAAAAATGTGGCCTCTAGTATCTTCTTTTCAAGTCTTAAAAGAAAATCGTCCAATAATTCCTAAACTTCAACATCCCAGGATCCTCTGGACACCTTCTTGTATCCATCTTGCTGAGATCTAAAAATGTGTTGCACCCCATTTCAGATGTGTTAAGTTTTTTAGTTTTAATTGTTTAACTTGCCATGAGCCTGGATTGACAAAGCAACCAGACCCCACACAGAAAAGCCATTGGGAAGCTTTGTGGTTTTCAGCTGCAGCTGATCGTCCTTTTCAAACTCTGTTTATTTGCGTAGGGCGAGTTACTACAGAAAGGGCGGGCGCGCCATGTTACCGGTGAAATGGATGCCACCTGAAGCCTTCATGGAGGGCATCTTCACGTCCAAGACAGACACGTGGTGAGAATCCTAAGCTTGCCGTCATCTTATGCTCCATTTTCCATCCTCTGTTCTCAGGTTTGACGACATTCGTCGTTTAAGTCTAAATGTTTTTTTTTCTCATCACAGGTCATTTGGTGTGCTGCTGTGGGAGATCTTCTCTCTGGGGTACATGCCTTATCCGAGTCGCAGCAACCAGGAAGTGTTGGAGTTTGTTACCAATGGAGGGAGGATGGACCCGCCTAAAAACTGTCCTGGGCCAGTGTAAGCATGTAGTTTCATTGCTTCTTTACAGTTCCTTATGATAATACGTCCATTCTTCTGAATAAAACCCACAAAGACACCATAACCTTTTTAACAGAGGCCACCAGATTGTTATTCACGATGCTGTGCACTTTAATAAGGACATTAACTAATTTCTGCCGTCTTTTAGGTACCGCATTATGACCCAGAGCTGGCAGCACCAGCCTGAAGATCGACCCAACTTCTCTACCATTCTGGAGAGACTCGACTACTGCTTACAGGTAAACCAAACTCTGTTATCAGCTATAAATAGTAGTAGAAGTTTAATTTGTGTAATTAGTACATTTCTGATGATTCTTTCATCTGTTCAGATGTACTGAAAATGTTATTTTCAGTCAACTTGAGTCTAATGTTTTAAAGATGCAAAAACAACTCTAGCCTACAGAGTTATAGTTCCAGATGGGAGACCACCAAAACGTTTAACAGAGACGCACTCACTTGACATCTCAACAATCATCACGTTTCTCCATCACTACGACTACAGGTGTGGAAAACTCAGCTCCAAGTCAAGCAGGCAATCAGTGCAAAGTCTAGAAATGTAATTAATACTAAATATTGCAGTCCACAGTTACTGTAAGAAGCAACAAAAACGAAGGACATGTGGAATAGCACAGCAGGGTCAGTGGACACAATAGCTTAAATGTCATCCTG